AGTATTTTTATTAATAAAATTATATAAAATATTAAGATTCTCAAAATGTTACTAATTGATTATAACTTTATGCTCTAATAAACCTTGTTCAGCACACAAAAATACATTATTCCGGCTTATTTAATTTTATATTTCATGAAAATTTAAGATAAGATGCTTAATTTTGAATATTTTGATCAAAATATCCAAAATTAAGCATCTTCTCTTAAATTTTCATGAAATATAAAATTAAATATGTATTTTTGTATGCTTAACAAGGTTTATTAGTAGAGTTTGGAACCGCGAAAAATTATGCTGGCAATTAATCGCATCGCCTAATTAGAAATTACACAATTAATTACGAATAATCGTATAACCGTTTATTAATCACATAACCATTTATTAATCGCATAATCGCTTAGCCGTTTAATCGTTTAACTGTTTATTAATTGTATAATCGTTTATCCATTTAACCGTATAACTGTTTATTAATTGCTTAGCCGTTTACTCATTTAATTATTTATTAATCATATAACCATTTATTAATCGCTTAGCTGTTTAATTGTTTAACTATTTATTAATCGCTTAGCCGTTTACTCGTTTAACCATTTATTAATCATATAACTGTTTATTAATCACTTAACTATTTAATTGTTTAATCATTTATTAATCGTTTAACTGTTTAGCCATTTCGCTGTTTATTTAATGTTTAACTGTTCAGCCTTTAACTGTTTGTTAATCATTACCATTTAACTGTGTTCATATATCGAGATCCAGCATTAACAATGTCTAAAACTTGTATTATTTATTTATATTACGTTAGAAAATATTATTGTTAAACTGCTAACGCTAATCATAACTCAATTTATTCCAATTTTCAAAGTTAAAGTTTCACTGCAAAATATACAAAAAAAAAAAGAAAAATTGAAATACTAGCGCTACCTATATCCCATCATAAATTTCCTACATTTATCTCTTTCGATCCTTTTTAACAATATCATGGCTGCAATAACCAAAACACAGACTCTATAATAAATATATTGTAATAGCTAATTGCATATTCTGGTTATATTACACAATTTAAAATAAAATTTTAAATAATACCATTTTTCATTAAAAAAGTCAAGCCGCAATTCTTTATAAAAACCCTTTTCAGCTAGTTATCTTATCCAATAGGATCGTCAACACTTTTAACCTTCATAATTACAACAAAATATATTTGCTTGTAGCAATTTCGTAACACATTCTTCTAATAGATATAAGCGTTAGCACACTTTTAATTATCCTGATGTCTTTGTATTCATCTTTTTTAGCCTAGATAGTGCAGTTTTTTTTTTTTTTTGTTATTTGATTAAGCCTATTGCAAATAATATAAAAAGGAATCACATATAAGTGAAAAAAACATTTGCATTTAAAATTATATATAAATTTTAAACCTACTTAGATGTTCAGCATTACGTTTAAAAAAAAGAATTTTTTAAATGATCTTTGAACTTAATTTTGTACGTTGGGGAGTAATCAGGTTTCTTGCATCTGAAAAAAGTCTCTCACAAGGGACAGATGTTGCTAGTACGCACAAATATTTACATGCTAACAATAACAAAATTAGAAACTCGGTTTTATGATTATCTTACTATTGCCAAGGATTGGCATTATAACTAATAGGGGTAGTCTTCATATATTGTGCCACCTCATCTAAAGGTGTGTCTTCTTGATTTTGTACTCCAAAAATATCTTCGAAAAATGGATTTTGCATAATTTCAGTAACTATTGGCGTTGATGTTTGTTGCTCTGATTGATTACTGCTAGTAATATTAAGATGCAAAATTTCAAACTCATTCCTCAATTTTGTTTCAGCCTTTTCTCGTTCTCTATTTGTAAATGCAGACATTTTTTTGGTTCGAGGGTCTAAAAAGGTTGCTACCAATCCAACTTCACGAAAATCATCCAATATTTATTCAAAGAGTCAGAAATAGCAATTTTAAATTGCTTTTCTATTTGATCAAGATCAGGTGGTAGTAATGGAGCATGTAAATGTGTGTCGTCTTCATTTTCAGAATCTAATAACACATCTAATTAATTCGAAGAAAAGTTAGAAAAATATATTTGACTTCTTATTGCTGTATAGTAGTAAATCGCTATATTATTAATATTACCAAAATTATATTGATTTACATAATATGTACATTGTTACATAACTGATAACGTGATAATTAATATCTAAAATCTGCTACATATGTAGTGATTAATATTAGTAATCATAATGATACGTAATAATCAGCAAACTTTAAATATTAATCATCACATTAGTGAAATAGAATTGATAACTAACAAAACTTACCATCCTCATCGTTGCTATCTTCATTATCATTACTTAGTTCTAAACTAAAATCTATAAATTTATTTTGTAATTCACGAATAATAGAATACATTAGCGAAAGAGTGGGATATTTGCTTTCTGAAAAGAATTTTGTTGCGAGTTCAAATGGTTTTAATGCATTAACAATTCTTTCTAACAATTCCCACTCATACTCTTTTAACAGTAACTGAGACAATTTTTGACTATCTTTTTTAATTTCTTTTTCTTTTCTTAAAGGCAAAATGGATGCTAACCACGTTATTGCATCTTTTAATTTTAAGAGCCTTGTCCATGAATAGTAACTAGTATTCCATTTAGTACAAATATCGGTAATATTACGCAATACTTTTATTGTAGATTCATCAATTTCTCTATCGTCTTTATCTTCTTCTTCTGAACTAATTTTTTTATCCATATCAAGAGTTGATAATTGATTAAATCGAATAATCTCAACCTCCTCTTCTCGAATATGATTTTGTCATGCTAGATCTATTTGTGCTTCACCGAACCATTCAGATTGTTTAACTGACTCTGTAAAAAATTTTACTAATTTTTTGAACCTTTTCACATAAGAGCTAATTTTTTTTAAACCTTTTGTTACTGATAGTTGTAAAGTATGGGCAGAACAGGGTAATCATTCAATATCTTCCCATATTGTAAAGGCTTTCTTCATGTTGGAACTATTATCAATGACTCCTAAAAATAATTTTTTATTTAAACCGAATTCATCTATTTTATTATCAATATAATCATGTATTTTCTCAGCCGTATAGGAGTACTGCATAAGTTCAATAGCAAGAAGCACATTAATAATTTCAAAATTAGGTATAAGCTAATGAATCATAATACCAATATATCCAAATTTGGATCTGGCAGTCCAGAGATCTGTGGTAATAGTAGCATATTCACATGTTTCATTAATTTTTATTTTAAGTTTTGGTTATTCCATCTTGATAAGCCGCTGCTATAAGATTTTTACATCCTTTATTAGATAGTATTTTAAATCGTGAATTAATTTTTTTTATAAATCGTTGAAATCTTTTTCCACAAAGTGTATTAAAGGGTAAAGAATCCATAATGATCCATTCTGTACATGTTGCCTGTAATTCGGTTTGTTTATTTGGATTATGAGGTTTTACATTTTCTATAACTTGTTCAAGCGTAACCTGTTTTTTTTTCTCTGCCTATAATTACAATATTATAATAAGAATTTGGGTATAAATCTATTTATATATCGCTATGATGATAAATTACAAAGCCCTTATAAATTAAATAATACCTTTTTGGCCAAACTTTCAAGAACTATGTCATATTTATGTATAATGTGATAATTTATTAATGATGTTGAATTTGAATTAGTACGGTCATATTTGGTCTCACATTTTTTTTTTTTTCTATCTTGAATTATTTCAACTTGGCATACTGCAAAACTCCCTTCTAATTTAAAATGTTGTCATACTTCAGCTTTGAGTCTGCGTCTTTTTCTTTTTTTTTGGTAGACCGGTAGTTTTATTGCCTTTTGAAGAAGGTCCTATTTCGCTACTGTTATTATCATCAATGTCAGTTTCATTGTCAGTTTCTAAATCATCAATACTATCCTGGATATTGTTCATCTTTAACGAAAGAAGGAAGTTGATTCAACTTTTTTTTTAAGGTTTGATTTTATTTGTTTACTTGTATTGTACAAATTTCAATTTTAGTATATTACTAATGATCATATTCCGGTATATTACAAGAAATCAATTTTAAGGTTTGATTATCATCGCAATATCAAAGTTTGTACATTGTCATACAAATTTTAAATATCTTAAAAACCGTGGATTTGGTCTGTTGTGCATTGAAAATATAGGATAAAAGAAGATATTATAGCGATGTAATAGTTGAAAGACTTTTTTCCCAGTAATCAGTAATGAGTAGTATTTATACTTTAATTTCTCTTTAAGAGTCAAATATATAAAATCTCTCAACTAACATGAAATATTAATTAATTATCTCATTTCCAAATTTTATTGATCATTAAACTTTTTTTATTAATGTGTTCAATCATAACAAAACAGAATGTACCAATCATTAAATTCAGAGCCCTATTTTATTCAAAAAAGATGAAAAAGGCCAAACACAGAAGATCACAAACGATCAATCGCATAAAATCAAAAAATTTGCCATTTCTATATCATAAATCGGTAATTTGGAAATTTTAGCAAAGAATTTTTATGCAAGTCTTGCTAAATTATAGTAACTTATCAATTACCATTCTCATCGGGTTCTATATCATCACTTTCTCCACTTTTCGTACTGCTTATGCTTCACTCTTTATCACTGTGTGTTCACTTTTATTTAGGTAATTTTACATGTTCGTCACTTGATATGAGTGGACTTTCACTAAAGTAGTTGTTTCTTGGCATGCTTGGCATGCAAATACCAGGTGAATGACAAATTAACATCTCCGGCTTTGAAGATGCAGCCGTTTTGACGTGAGGTTATTTGTGCTGAATCTAATTATATGCTCTCTGCTTGGATCTCTTAGATGACAAAGATAACCTACTTGTAGTTGATGAATAATAAAACTTTTTGAAAGTAATTTAGTCATTTTTATGTCACAGTAATATTATCATAAAAGAAGCCATTATACTTGAGAATTATAAAGCCTTAACCACACACTCTGGATCATTCGGAATTGACATCCTAAACTGATATGTTAAGTCTTCGCTCTTGGTATTTTTTATGAAGTTCATGAGGTTGGTGAAATGCTGTAAATGTGCAAATGGTATTGGACTTATACCTTCTACTTAAACATATGGGTAATTATTTTTGAAGTCTGTCCAATAGTGCAATATAATTTATTGTACGGGTCTTATGTGACAACCCGTGCTTTTTTCATTTACTTATTGGCATGGGATTGTTACGTCAGACACCATACAATAAGATAGTTATTGTATGGTATGTTGAATAACCCAGTTATACACACGGGTTCATATTTAATCCCGTACCTTCGGCACGGAATATGAACCTGTGTGTAACTGGGTTATTTATTACATACCCATACAATAACTATAATTTATTATGTACGTACGTAGCTATCATACAAATTAACTGTTAAAATTGGTGTGTTTAAATCGAAGATCAGACCAAAATGTATAACTGGTTGTCTATTATAAGAGTGGCGCTGATTAAATATGAGAAATTTTATTCAATATTCAATCTAAAATTTTTTTTTTTTGGTATTCTATTTAAAAGCCTGGTGTTAGACAAGTGGTTCCTAGAGAATTGGCAAGAATGAAATAAGAAGCATTACTGAATGTATGCTAGCATTGGATAAATTTAGCTCTATAAGAATGAAAATGGCCAAGCATTACACTTTAAAACCTAGTGTCAGACGTTTGATACTCAGATAGTTCAGTAAATAACATTGATGATCGCATTAGAAAATTTTGACTTTGGTTTTTAAAGAATGGTGAAATACTTTAACCTGATTAGATGGCATATGAAGGTAAACCTCATATATACCATCGTATCTAAAAACATTGTAGTCCTTTAGATTTCTTAATGTTTTTATTTAAATTATTTATTGCATATCTGATATTTATTAAGCATTGCATTGTAAATTAATGAAGTATTTAGTTTAAAAATTATATATAATTAGATAGTCGAAAGATAATGAATACATGTTGGCATTTGATGAATTTGGTTCTAAGATAAATATGCATTAAAGATCCAACTTAAAGCAACAGAATACAAGAGTAGTTGGATGATTTACTTCTAAGAATTAATTATAATATTTAAAAATTGTAGACCAATTTCTATGGGGGCCACGAATGATATATATGTATATACATATATGCGTATATTTTAAACGATTAATCATATACGTAAAATTTAAGCAAATAATTTAACGATTTTTAATCATTTATAAAACTGTTTATTCATTTAATGTATAACATAAACAAACGATTATAGACGGTTGAACAAAATAAAGGTTCAAATCCTTAAGTGTAATCAATAACAATCACCATAAAAGATATCTTTTACGGTGATTGTTATTAATCACACGCATACTTGTTTTTCATGTGAAACATTAAATGATTAATCGCGATTAATCGCATAAAATTTAAAACCGGTTAAACGAATAATTTAATGGTCTTTAACCGTTTATAAAATTCTTTATTCGTTTAACTGTATAAAATAAACAAACGGTTAATCATGGTTAAACAAATAACGGTTCCAATCCCTATTTATTAGAGCATAAAGTTATAATCAATTAGTAACATTTTGAGAATCATAATATTTTATATAATTTTATTAATAAAAATACTATAAAATGCTATAATTTTTGGAATTTTACTAATTAATTATAACTTTATACTCTAATAAACCTTGTTAAGCATACAAAAATACATTATACCGGCATATTTAATTTTATATTTCATGAAAATTTAAGAGAAGATGCTTAATTTTGGATATTTTGATCAAAATATTTTTGTGTGCTTAACAAGGTTTATTAGAGCATAAAGTTATAATTAATTAGTAAAATTCCAAAAATCATAGCATTTTATAGTATTTTTATTAATAAAATTATATAAAATATTAAGATTCTCAAAATGTTACTAATTGATTATAACTTTATGCTCTAGATAAACTTGTTTAGCACACAAAAATACATTATGCTAGCATATTTAATTTTATATTTATTAAAAATAGATGTGATAATTTAATTTTTAGCAAATTACTATACAATTTATATGTAATAATTGAATTTTTAGCAAATTTATTTGATTTTAGAAGTAGCAAAAACCCCAAAATTCATGCAGATCAGTTATGATCTATATTGAAGATGTCCGGGGTCCTACTGGATCCATATGAAGATTATGCATAATTTCGTGTTTTACTTCTTCTAGTATTGTGACGTTTACAGGCTTTTCATGCTGAATATTATGACTAAGTTTTACCTTTGCTTGTTTTGCCGCTATATCTACACTAATAATTAACTTGCCATGACAATCAAAGCGGTCCATCTTTTTGCGATTCGATTCCTTATACTCTCGTTCTAATTCACGACACTGAGAGCATGCAAGGTAGAATTTACTAACTCCAGAATGACATGCCGAGTTAGTAGGCCCAGTTGTAAAACTATGAGTATAAAAATAATTAATTTTTAATTTAAATTTTTAATGGTTTAATTATTTTTTTTTTAATCATTATTTTTTCTAACAATTATTTTTTTTAAATTTTAATGTTTTAATTATTTTTTTTTTAATCATCTTTATTTTTTTTATTTATTTTAACAATTAATTTTTATTTTAACAATTATTTTTTATTTAAATTTTAATGTTTTAATTGTTTTTTTTTTAATCATCTTTATTTTTTTTTATTTATTTTAACAATTAATTTTTTATTTATTTAAATTTTTAGAGTTTAATTTAAGGTTACTCACATCCACTTATATCCGTCACCTTCCTCAATCTCATCAACTATCAATTTTACTAAGAGTTTTGTATCATTATTCGCATTTGTCAATGTATTATCGTCAAGTTCAATGTGCAAGTTAAATTTTATTGTAAATATATTCTATGATATTGTTAAATGAGATTTCTTTCATGTCATTTTCTAATTGGCTTCCTGTTCTGTTATTCATGCCTTCAGAATCGTTAACAGATGGAAGAGATTGTTTCTCTGCATTCTTTCTGGACTTTGTAATCAAGCAATTGGTGCATGTCTTATAAGTTTTGTTATTAAAAATAAATGCCTCTGGGGTAAAGAAGTGCGCTTGTATGAAGAACATGATCTAATATTATTGGCATCTATGGTTTGCTAATATAATGTAATTTAATTTTTATTTTAATTGTTTAACGACTTAATACTTTTATTTAACTCGAAATATGAGTAATTTTCTTTAAGATAAAAATTGGTCCTTTTATAGACGCTTTAAATTATAATTAATTACTGAATATAATATCTCATTAATTTATTAATAAAAATAGATCAAATGGGTATTTTTATCCTTTTTACACGAGTTAAATGCATAGTTGGTGGTAAATTATTGAATTGCAGCTTTGCCGTATATATTGTAGTAATTTAACCATTAATTATAGTTATACACAGCATTTGTATAGTTTCTATTTGGTTATATTTATTTATGTGTATATGCACTATGTCGCCAAATCGAAGGTATGTTTATTCCAAATTGCAGGTAAATAAAAGGTTGGAACATTGATAATATAGCCACGTAGAATTACGCATTGCTGTAATACGCATATATTGTGGTAATTTGACAGTCAACTATAGTTATACGAGGCAATTTGTTTTCATTTGGTCACATTTATTTATGCATATTAATGGTATGCTTATTCCAAATTATAGGTAAATAAAAAATTAGAAAATTGATAATATGGCATGTAAAACATTAAATGCATATTGCTTTATACGGGCGTATGCCCGTCGAATTTCACAAAGCTTGTGACCATGTGAAATCCCTAACAAATTCCATACAACTCACGTGAACGATCATGCTGATATTGAATTTATGTGCATAATATGCAAAATGCACAAAGAATTTCTTATAATTTACTAATACTGTCTTTACAGAATATTGTATTAAGATTTTTTTTTCTAAAGC